CCGCAGGGGAGGGGGGGCCCCAGCCCCAGGCAGGCCCGCGGGTATCTTCACTCGACACCCCGCAGGGTAGGCACCGGAGCCCGCGGCCGCGCCGCCGCCCCCAGCCCCGGCAGTCACCGGGCCGCCCTCCTCACTGCCGGCCTCGGCCGCCATCATGTTGAAGCCCGCTCTTCTCGGCCCTACCCTGCCCGCCCGGGAGCCCCGGGGGCCACGAGGCCCGGGCTCCGCGCGGCCCCACCCAGGCGCGTCCCCCCTTCAGCTCCCCAGGCGGAGGAAACAACAACAAAAGGAGAGAGCCCGCTGCCGCGCCCCCTCCTCGGGCCACAGCCCAGGCTCCGGAGCTGCCTGGGTTACGGGAAGCCAAGTGGGCAAAAAACCCAACGCCTGCACAAACGCCGCCCAAACCTCACCTTACACACCCACACGCACGCACACACACACACACATGCACAGAGGCGAAAAACTTCCTGGCTGCACGAAAGAGGAAGGGAAGCACGGGGGAAGCAGCTAAAGCGCCTGGCGCTCCTTCAGCCACCGCCACCGCTTCTTCACCACCCCAGTTCCGGCCACCCCCACCGCAGCCACCGCCGGTGCCTCTGCTCGGGACAGGGCCACTGCAGCCGCTTCATCCTCCACCAGGCTGGGATGGGAGGAGTGGGAGCCGAGGGGGCGGGGCAGTGCGGAAACCGACTGAACTGCTCACTACCTGGAGCTCAGGCAGTGAAACCCGAGAGAAAGGAGGGCGGGGCAGGCGAGGAGGGGCAGGGGAGGAAGGGCGGAGGAGCGAGCGGCCGGCTTCTGCGCAGGCGCGCTCCCGGCGCGTGGGCGGGGGGCCGGCCCTGGAGGGAGGAAAGGGAAGAATCGGGAGGGAAGGAAGCGGCGAGCGCGCGCCGGGCAGTGCTTTTTTCCTGCCTCAGCCGGCTTTGTTGGAAGGGCCGGCGCTGGGGTGTAGGTACTTGGACACGCGGCGGCTGGGCGCCGTGAGGACCGGAGGGATGAGGGACCGGGGCGGGGGAGAGGAAGGAAGGAAGGGGGAAGGAGATGCCTGAAAAGACGGTCCTAGACGGCGACCCGGAAACCAGAAAGCTGAGGGGAGGGATGGGGACTTCAGGGCAGAGCAAGACCGCACGGTATTACCATTTCCTTCATTTTCGTTGCATGGCATAAATCAGTATGTTACTATAATGGCTAAAGGGAAAAGCAGATTTTGGAACTGAGGAAACGAAAGGGATAAAGAGACGTGGTTAGGTCAGAGAATTTGGGTAGTAGTAGTTGCGAAGTCAGATTCCTACGACTAACTCATATAGTTTGTTATCTTCACGAGCTGACTCTCATGCACGTATTTTCCTGTACAAATGATGAGGTGTGAAAAGGAGGGAAGCCACAGGCAGCAATTACCTACACACTTTCCCTGGGTGCGCGGGACCGAAGTGCTCCTGTGGTTGGACAGGGCACCCCAAGAAGTCAGATGTCCGGAATGTCTCAGTGTGTCAGTTATATAATTAAATATAGTTTCCAAAGTTGGCAGTGAACTCAAATCTCACCCTTCATGCAGGCAAGGTTTAATATTTTATATTAAATGCAAGCTATTATATACATTCATACAGTGGAGGAATCATCCCGTTGTTTGAAATTATAGTAATTGGTAATTTGGCCTTTTGGAGTCATACATTGTTCTTTTAAATTCTACCAGGAGGGATCTTACATGAATACCCTTGAATATTGGTCTTCGAGATGACCATTTTCTCTACTGAGGATGACCAAATGAAAATACCAGTATATTGAAGCTGACAGGGAATGTACTAGAAAGCCAGAAAAAAAGGAAAGGACCCCTAAAAGAGGTGGCAAGACATTTCCTTTGTAAGTTTGCTTGTACTTACTTACCAAATTGATGTAAAAAAAATTTAGTCCTGAGGACTCCATTGTACTTAATCTCTTTTGAGTACACTACTTGGGAAAGTGAAGATAGAAAGAGATTGAGTTCTATGGGTGCACTCAAACCAGAAATATTCTAATAATTTTTGAGAAATGTATTATAGATCCCTAAGCCCCACCCCAGACCCTTGGAATAAGACACTGGGCAGCCAGCAGGACATGTAGTAGTTGGGATGCTGAACTCCCTCATGGCCGAGTTCTGTTGGAGTCTAAAATGTGGCATCTTAAAAGTCACAGGCACGTATACCCAAAATACCAGGAGGAAAATGGAGAAGAGGGGACTGTGGTGTGGGCATCCTCCCCGAGGGTTGATTTCTCACTTTCTGTCTCATTGTCATTTCCGTAGTGCAGGTACCTTATGGCAAAAATCTGAAAAAAATTAAAAAGTGGGCAGCCATCTGTGGTTTGACTAGCCCTCCAAGTGACTGTACACTTAAATTTGTACCAGAGTATAATATGCCTGTAAAGAAGGAGGTATGCAATACCCAAAAAATGGTTTGAAAGAGAGAATAGAAAACTATTCTTCAAGTGGGTTGGTAAGAGATTAGAGCATTAGTTTGCAAAGCTTTGTACTGTTCTAGAAAGGTTAGGCAATAAGAAAGAGCAAAATAAAGTAATAGTATAATACTAAGATAATTATGAAGTACTGCCTCTTACAGTGGTCTCCCTGAAAACAGTTTTGCCATTTTCTTTTAAACCCAGATCCCCTTCTATTCCGCCTGAAGGTCAAGATGAGGCTCCCAACTCTAATTGCAGAATTAGCTCCTCCATTTTTGGAAATTCTTTAGCATTTAAAGATGCATGTTTAATATAGTCTAACCCTTATTATATATCGAGTTACATTGTTTTCTACTTATTTTTAAATCTGTGTATCTACAGAATTGCTACACATATAACCTGTGGATAATTCCATTACCTAGTCCAATTCTAGGCATCCTCAACACACTACTTTGAACAGATCTCCATCTTCTAAACAGTACTGGATTAGATCAGCTCACATCTTTGGAAATCAATTCCTCAGCTAGTAAGAAGGATTTATGTCTATTTGTAAATCAACCTAGTATCAGTATCTTACCTAATATCAATATCTTAACCTAGTTTTTGTTTAATCTTAAAGTTGGTACTGCTCTTTACATCCCAAGAGATTACCACATATTTTTAATACTTAAAAATACTTTATATATTCCCATTATTTGACAAATCTTAGGCTTTAATTTATAATATTACTTTTGTACTTCCTTAATTAGAAATGAATCTTTTACCTGTGATGATTTTTTAAATTTTTTCAAAAGGGTCTAATGTGTTTTCTTCCTTTATTTTTTCTACTACCTTTCTCTTTATACTCCACTTTCTATCTACTTTTTTATAATTTTGTATTCTCCTTTTCCATGAAGTTTTATGAGTCAAAAACTGAGAACAAGTAAAAAATCAAAACAGAACACTGGAAAGAGGCACTACATGGATACTCCAAGAATTGGTGTTAGGAATGGTCTTATGTAAGAGTTAACAAAGGTAAGTAAACAGTTAAATTCACAGATAATATTATACAGGGAGACACTAAAAAACAGAACAACATAATGACCAAAAGAAAAATTAAAAACCACTATTACCTTTAGCAAAATCATTGTGTCTGTGATTTTAGAAAAGATTTCAGATAGCAAAACACAATTGGATCTTCATATCCCTGGGTTCCACGTCCATGTATTCAGCCAACCATGGATGTTGCCAGGCTGTACCAGTGGTTATGAAATGAAGCAAGAGATAGTTCCCCAAAACAAACTTGTTGAGACCAGCAGATGGCTTAGTGGTTAAGGTGCAGGATTCCCATGTGACCGACTTCAGTTTGAGTCCCAGACTGGGTAGCTTGAAACTCACACTGGGCTTATGTGTGTGCATGTCCAAAATCCATAGTGGAGATGAGGAGAAGGGATTACAACATGGCCATCCCCCCAGAGGAGGAAGGACAGTGATTTCTTGTTTTCTGTCTCTCTGTCTCTCCCTATTTCTCCAGTGAGCACACACACCCTATAGCAAAAATCTCTAAAAAAAAAATAAGTTTAACAAGTTTATATACTTATAAATCTTATATTAATGTAACAGATAAGTAATCTATAGATACTTCAAAGTATATTGGAGGTTGTGCACTGTATATGCAAATACCATGCCATTTTGTATAAGGACTTGAGCATTGTGGATTTTGATATCTACAGGATCCTGAAACCAATCCCCCAGAGGTGCCCAGGGATGATTATATAGTATTTAGCAAAGACTAAATAATAAAACATACTGCGCAAAGATTTGTGGATGAAAAGAAACCATTTTAAAACTTAATTTAAGAACATAAAAACAGGGCTGGCAGGTGTTACGGTGATTAAAGGCATTGGATTCCCACATGGCTGACTGCAGTTTAAGTCCTGGACCTGCCAACTT